AACACTGGGGAGTGATAATATGCTTCCTATTAGGACTCTGTTGTGGTAATTGCAGGTGCAGGAGGACAGCGTTGCAGGTCAGCCCAATCCTCAGATGTCCTAGAGATATACGCAGGCTTGTTTCTTGGGTCCCTTTGTCCTTATGGCTTTCCACTTTCATATAAAAAGAATCAAAGTATACAGCTTAAAATTATTTACAGTAATAAATAAGTTTTATTTATTACTGTAAATTGCCATCAATTGGCAAATTACATTGCCATCAATCCCCGCAAAAGGATACCCTTTGTTGCAAACATGCTTATGCCATCATTCTCAGCAACATATCTTTTCTTTTACTGTCTTAAGGTTTTTATTTTTGTATTTAAACATTTACCATGTATTTGATCCCTGTTTCTAATTAAATTCCCAGTTTCACTGAGGTACTTAAAAGGAAAAATGGGGAAGAAAATGACTTCATTGCAGTTATCTTTTCCTGTGCTAATGCTGTTAATGAAGAAAAGTGTGGAAATGACAAGAAACAAAGTAGTTTTTAATTTTTCTGTCTTCCCTGAACAAGAAGCAAAACAAGATAAACTGAAATTTCTGCAATGTTTTATTTTACTTCCCTGAGTTGAATACAGATTTTGTGTTGTCAAAATTGTCATCATTGTTTAGAAGTATTGACTGAGATTTTCTTTCGAAAACAAAACAACCAAAGAACAGAACAAAAGGCAAACAAACTAAATGAAATATGCTGCACGCAAAAAACCACAACTCCTTTCAGTAAACTGATGCCTCGTGTTAGAGCCTCTTGTGTTCTTTTTCCCTGCAACTCATGAATATATATTTCATTTTGGATATTCACATGTGTCTTTAACAAACTTGATTCATTTTCATCTCCCCTTTAGCCCCATGTGCTTTCCTTCCTCCTCTGCTCCTTTCCTCTTAAATCTGCCCTTCACCTTCATGCCCCCTTCAATTTGTTTTTGTTTTCCTCTTTCCCTTTTTCCCTCCTCCTTGCTGCTCTTGCTTCCTCCTCCTTTCTCTCTCCTTCCCAACCTCTGTCTCTTGTCTGTCTCTCATTCCTTCCCTTCCACATCTGCTTCCCTCCTCCCTCTCTGCCTCTCTCCTTCTTCTGCTCCCTCTTCCTCTCCCTCTTATGAAAGCAAACAGACGCTATTATCTTTGTGATCTGCATTATTTGGCTTAATGGGATGAGCTCCTGTTCTATTCATGTTCCTGCAAATGGCATGACACACTCTCCTTTATGGCTGAATACTAATCCCTGTGTATATACCTACCATATTTTCTGTATCAGTTCATCAGCTGATGGGCACCTAGTCTGTTTTCATATCCTTGCCCTAGTAAACTGTAACTCATGAGATGTGGGAATACTGGACTTTCCCTGCTTTGCTGACTTTAATTCTTTCTGGTATTTACTGAGGAGTGGCATAGCTAGGTCATATATTATCTCTGACCTTGGATTTTAAGAAATTTCTGTACCAATTTTTATGATGTCTATATTAATTCACATTCCTGGCAGCAGTGTTGAAGGAGTTCTTTCCCCTGACATCCTCACTAGCATGTACTATTCTTATATTCTTTAATTCACTGTCTGAAATGGGATGGTATTTCAATGTAGTCCTCATGTGTGTTTCTCCAATAGCTAAAGATGTTGAACGTTTATTTCCCATGCTTTCTGACCCCTTGTACTTGTTCTGAGAAGGCTCTATTCAACTCACATGCCCATATATATACTGAATTCTTTGTATAATGCTGATATTAATCATTTGCTAGATAGGTGCTGACAGAGATGACTGTCCAGTGTGCAAGCTATCTTTTAGTGTTGTTGACTGTTTCCATTACTGTAGAGCAGCTTTTAAATTTACTGTGAGCCATGTGTGGGTTCTTGTGATATCTTTTGCTGTTGGATCCCTATTAGGAAATGTTTGCCTGTCCCTACACTTACAATTGTATCCTGTGTGTTTTCATCTAGTGAGTTCAGGGCTTAAGTTCCTAGGCCAAAGTCTGATCCATTTTGAATTGGGTAAGAGATATAAGCACTATGTCTTTGTTGCATATTCAACATAGGGACATTTAGTTTCTCAGTAGCATTTGCAAAACAGCAAAATTTCTCCAATGTATGTGTTAGGCAGCTTCGTCAAAGACCAGAGGGCTGTAATAGGGCATCTTCCTTTTTGGTCTATTAGTCTCCATTGTCACTTTTTATGCCAGTAAACTATAGTTTCTGTTTGGAAAATTGGCACTATGATGTCTCCTGCATTGTTCCTTTTGTTCAAGGTTACTTTGACAACTCTGAAAGTTTTGTGTATCCATGTGAGATTTTCTTTTTAAAGGGAAAACACTGAAAACAAGGTAACATTGTTAACAATGATTAACACATTGTGTATTTTTCTCTTTAAGTCAGTTATTCTAGGTTAAGATATTAACATTTAATTATCCAAATAAAATTAGCACAGAACTTCCTTTTAAATGAACTAAGAGAAATTAATAGTATAACTATCTTAACTCTTTTCTGTCTGTGTGTATACATACATATATTGCTTTTCCCTTCTTGCTTGATATTTAGTTTCTATGTGTTTATGAATTTCTAGTGATTTCTTTTGCCATTCATTTCTGATCTCATTGTACTATGATCTGATAATATACAAGGAATGTTTTCAATTCCTTTGCATTTGCTTAAGTTTATTCTATGAATTCATATGTGATTTATTTTGGGGAACATCCTATTTGCACTTGAGAAGAATGTATT